ACTCCACCCACGTTGACCTATTACCCCCAGTACTTATCACTAAGATCCTACATTGTAAGCAAACACTGCCCTCTTGTGCACTGCAACATCGAGGAGACAAAGTTCCACTTCGGGGGTTGGGGAGAGGGGCATTCCAGACCAACAAAATTTTTATACCAGTTAATTTTTCTTCATGCATAGCTCCTTAATTAAAAAAGTGGTTTTCATTTTAAAATGTCAATAAAAATACCGCCTTATTTTTTCCAGACAAGTATCTGGCACCAGCCAAATTGAGGTGAATTAAAAAAGACACTCTTTCAATTTCAAGAGAAGTGTTTTCATTTGCAGAAATAAAGTTTATTTGCATTTTTAATACAAAGCAATATCAGCAATTTACAAGCACCATGAACCTAAAGAGTCTAATAGCATTTAGGAAACATTCACACTAGTGCTAATTGAACTCTCTTCGCCCAAGAGTACTTCCACGACATCAACCGCTACAACAAGGCTCATGGATATGAATTACACAACACAAGAGTTGTATCTTAATACTTTTTCACCTTAACAAGGTTCATTATTGTGTTATTCTCACTTCAAGCTGATAGCCAAAGTTCCCAAGACTCCCCAGTGACTTCTCTCTGACCAGAATGGTATCCACTAAGCAACACAAGACACTCTTTCCTCCACAGAAGAGGTTTTCCTTCATTCAGCACGTGCACTCCACAGCAAGTCATCCATATATACATCTACAACTATAAAACTCTACTTGCTCACTCACCTAGAATGAAAAAACATTAACTGTCACATCTTCACACAGGTCTCAACAAACAAAAGCTCACATGGACAGAAGTGTGTTTTCATTGCAGTAATGCAAAGGTAACCCCGAGTTTATAAATCCTCTTAAAAGCTTACAACAAACTCAGCAAAACAACTAATCTGTGATAAAAGGTGGGGAGTTTTTTGTGATATGTTAATCTTACAAATAATCTGCATCTGACTGAATTTGAATGCTGGCAGCAAGACCACATTTCCCTTGATCTCCCAAGCCTGTTTTCATTGTACTCATTTGCATCAGCAAGACATGCTTTTGCTATGCTCATTTCCCCCTCCCCAAGCTCTTGTGTAAGTTCAAAAGTCCTGGCCCCTCCAATGTATCAGGTATGAATTAATACCCTTCCTTAGCAGAACACAGCAGCAAAGTGGAAACAGATACTTGCAAGGCAGTTTTCTTTGAAAGGAACTGCATGGACAAATGGTGACAATGAAGCTCTAGTTATAAAGTAAAAAGGTCAAAGGTTCAGAGAGGCATAAGGATTACAAAACTACAAGTTCGTCAGAATTCCCCACACCCCAGGTTTAGACAACCAGGGTCAAGCAGTAGCTTTCCAATTAAAACCCTATAAGGATACTCTGTCCTTTGAACTTCATAGGGAGGAGAAAAAAAAAAGACAATTTTCTGTTTTAGAATTTCTTTTGAGGAGCCATCTCAAAATCAAACAGATAAAGGGCATCTGACAACAGCTCACCTAAAACAAACACTGCGCTATCCTTTCGCTGCCTGTGTGGGGGAAGCTGGGATGAGGTAATCATGTTCTTCTGTATTAGTGTGCTGACCCTTTGTAGGGCATGAAATTAACCATCAGCAAGTAAAAAATCTGCTACTGGTTAAACTACTTTGCTACGCAAAGTGGTCTTAAAATGAAATATGGGGATTGAATTTCTCCTGGCAGATTAACTTGTATAACCTCTCTGCAGGCACCCCTTCCTGCTGAACTCATTTCAGAAACCATTCCAGACCCTACTGGATGCACAGGTCTGCAACAAACAAATATAAAAGCAACTCTTATTTTACTTGGACAACATGAACGTCACCTTTGTGGAAGGTCAGGAGCTGAACTTCAACAAAAGAACAGACACTTAAAAACCTGATAACACCGTGACAGAAACTACCCCACCACAGCGTGAAATTTTACCAAAAATACCACCCTAAATATCTACCACAACAGAAGAAAAATAACAGTATTGCCTCTTGCAGTCATTTCTTCAGTGCAGAAAGCGAGTGTAAGGCTGATGTGGGTTCTTCTTACTGGTCATGACAAGCTAAGAACTGACACTTAAAATTATTTTATTGAGACTTGTTTTCTCTGCTTAGCAAGTCTCAAATGGCTATAAATGCTGTATTTGTTGCACTGCTTGAGACAAGAGGCTCCTAAAGCACAGGAAATGTCTGAAATTATTTTACATAAAGAGTTTTTTATTTTAAATAAAGAGTTCCGTTCTTCTTGTTTAAGACAAAAAGAAATACAAAACAGTTCAAGCCATACAGCTACCAACAATAGCTCAATACCTTCCTGCCACAGACACACAAGAGCCTGATGTTGAAGAATATAAACCAGCTTGGTGAAAGGCATGATGTAGTACATCAAGTGACTATTATTTATTCCATTCCAACCTTGACTATCACCTTCCAGCTAAAACTTTAAGAAAGCATCTTGGGTGGAATGTCTGCAACATTTCCAATTCCCAGCATGCAGGTTAAAAAAAAATAAAAAACCAAACTTTTGATTTAACATTTGATATGTTTTGTTTTCAAGGACAAGCTTCGTAAGAAAAATGTAGCCACACAGAATGAAATACGAGTTCCATTTTCCATTCTATTTGGTTACTGCTCAAATATTCTGCATTCATTTAATCCTAAGGTATTGTGTCTAAATAAGCATCTTGTGAGTGACTGTGACACGTACTCACAAAGTCAAGCACTGCCTGGCATAGCATGAACTCTCACACCCAGCTCCCTTGCCCACAGCCATCCTATCTTTAGTTTTCCTGTAGGTTAATATACATATACAGCTACCACAGGACTTGATATCATAAAAGCAGGATTTTAAAAAGGTATGAGAAATCTGAGATGCAGAATAAACACAGGAAGATAAAAGTACTTTGCACTTTTTATTTTAAAACCATAGAGAGAGAAAACGTGTAGTAACAGGAAAATCACAGATTCTATCAAAAAGAAAAAAGTAGTGGAGTTCCTACTTGGAATGTTGCAGACAAACTGTTTGGAAGACTGAACCCTTAATGCTCAAGGGCAAGGATGTAGATGAAAATAACCTAAATTTTTCAAGTATCATTTCTGAAGTGGTGAAAAAGCTGGCAATATTGAAATACTCAAACACCAAAGAATGTATCCTGTTACACAAGACACGCTATACTTCAGTTTGAGTTTCACCAAAACATGCTAAACCTGTAAGCACCTAAGTAGTCCCATTGGCACAAATCAGGTTTTATCAAGGTCTCACCCTTCAAACCTGGTAGGAAAAAAGAAAAGGGGGCAGGGGTGGCATGCACCATCAAGATATATGTCGTCAAGCAGAAAACTGAAGTCTTTTAACCCTTCTCACTATTAACACAACATTTTCCCACAACCCTTTCTTAATACACAGAATTGCAGTAAGTCACACTAATCAAATGTTTTAACAAATATACGTAATGTGGTATAACTGTAACTAAATGAGTTTGATGTGCTTATTGTGTCTGAACTGACCCCTGTAAAGAACCATTTCTGCTAGGAAGAAAACTTCATCAAGTCATCTAGTCTAGTCCACATCTTTCCTTCTGCCTGCATGGTCTATTGATAAGGAAATCTGAATAACCTGTTCAGCCAGTGTGGAGAGCTGTGACTAAATACTTCGAAGATGCTCATAAAAATAACAGGAAGCAACAAGACATCTGTGTATTAAACAATCACCCCAAATAAGTGTTAAAGGTATATATAAAAAAACAAACAAACAAACAAATCCCACCCCAACAACAACAAATGGTTAAGGCAGTTTTCTAAGTTTTCCCATGTCCTCTTCATGAGAAAGTTTACACCACTCAGATTAGTTGTTTCTGGCAGAAAGGAATGTCTGACTAGAAGTCACTCTTGAGTACATCCAAGAAACGTTTGCCAAAATAAACTTTGTTCTTGAGAAGATAATCAGGTGCTTACAATTACTGAAGAACGCTAGTGGGTTGTCAAGTACCAAAGACGACTAAAAGACCACAAGTTTCTGGAATTTAGCACCCGGCTGCTCCTCCCCTGCACCTCCGAAACACGTGAAGGGCATTGGACGGCCGGTGAAATGGACATATAAGTAAATATTTATCCCAAAGAAGTGCAAACACGATGCAATTACTACTACCGCAATTTATAAATAACACATCTGCTCAAAAGGGGATTAAATTCATTCATCATGAGAAGTAACTCAGTCTGAACCTTAGTCTGGCCAAGAAAAAACATATTCTATTGCAAATCTACCACCTAGCTGACACTAAAGAGAGACTGGCAGAGGAAACGCATAGGAACGGAACTTGCAGATTGAGTTTAAAGTTTAAAGTTGCAGTTTATCAACCCGTGACTACTTTAAGCAGCCTACAGCTGCAACTCCACTCACATCCTTAATCAAGCACCAACCATCTCTTAGCTCTCTTTAGAAGAAAAGGAGAGGGGAAATAAAACGAGGTGAACTAATTCAGAATAGGTTGCAACGCAAACCAGATTAACCTTCCGGTATCATCTACCAAGACTAAACTGAAAAGCTACCAAAATCCACAAAATTATTTTTAAACCTAAGATTATCATATGAGAACTCCCTGGTCCCTCCAAGACAAAAGTTCAGCACGGGGATGTCCCACCAAGTACCAGCACAGCTCTCTTTGCAATAGCAAACTCCGACAATCTTTAAAAGTGAGAAAAAAGAACTTAATAGGTCTGTAATATGCCATTAATCAGGTCTCCATCCGCAATAAAGAAAACTTTTTATCCCAGTAAGCGTAAGGAGCTTGAGCAGGCCTGAGCGTTCACAGCGCACCCCAAGAACTCTAATTTGGAAACCGCTTTCCTGTGAGCGCTGGCACTTTATTCGAGGGGCAGCTATGAAGCAGGGTCACCGAGAAAAACCCGGTACTCCGCCCACCCCCGCCTGCCCTCGGGGAAACCCCGACCCGCACCAGCCGAGCTGCCCCCGCGCCCCCCTTACCGCCGATGATGGTGCGGATGAGGGAGGCGTGCCCGGGGCAGTCGACCAGCGTGAACTGCAGCTCCCCGGGCCCCGGGCCCAGCTGCGGCGGCAGCGCGGTGCGCAGGCAGGAGAAGCCCAGGTCCAGCGTGATGCCCCGGGCGCGGCTCTGCGGGGCGCGGTCGAAGGCGGCGGTGGAGCCGGTGGTGCTGAGCGCCCTGGCCAGCGCCGTCTTGCCGCTGTCGATGTGCCCCAGCACCCCCACGTTCACGTTCAGCGCACGGCCGGCCATGGCGCCGCTCAGCCCGCACGGTCCGTCCCCACAGCGCCCCTGCGGCAACGCGGCGCCCGCCGCCGCCGTTCCGTGCCGGGCCGGGCGGAGGGTGAGCCAGAGGGGCGAGGGTCGGGCAAACCCAGCGCGGCCACCGCGGGGATGGAAGCCCGCCGGCCCCGGCAAGCAGCCGCTCGCAGCCCCCCGCTGCCCACACACCGCCCCCGCCAGGCGCCCCATCCCGGCAGAGGCGATTTAAGCAGGTGACTCTGATGGCCACACGCCCAACAGCTGGGCTCTTCCACAGGTGTGTGCCCGGCCCGATGGCAGCAGGAGGGAGCGACAGCCCTGGGAGAGCGTCTCTGTCACCACCCCTGCCCTGGGGCATTCCCACTTGGCTCTTCTCTCGCCCACGCTGATGAGTCGCTGTAGGGCTCCTCAGCTCAGCCCGTGCTTGCTGCTACATCGCACCCTTCACTCTGCCCCCATGGGCACCCCATCCTGGTGCTGCTGGAATTACGGTGACCAAGTTTGCTTTCAAAGTCGTATGGAAAACTCGCGTGAAAAAGCAAGTCGGTCACCTTTGGATCATTTGCTCTCCTTATGCTTAATAGACTCTAGCCTTGTGTAAGTCACTTTCCTGTTTAAAAAAAGTATATTTATGTTGGGTAAGATGCTACCTAAAAATCACACCTTTAATGGATAAAGAATCACCAAGATTATTCACAGCTCTCCTGCAAACCAACAGTAACCACCCAAACAAAACACAGCAGGTAGATGAGCATTGGAGAGGCCTGAGAGCGGCTCAGAGGCTAAGAGCAGGAGCTCACTTCACTGATTTAAGTCACTTGGCTTTGCTGATAACCTGGGAAGCACACGGGGCCAAATGCATTACAGGATAAAGCTTAACACATGTGCTCAGCATTTCAGTAGTGACTACTAAGCAGCCCAAAGTAGCACTTCGAATGGTAACAGCTGTTTACAAGCCAAGAAGCCAATACTGTGTTATGGACTTCCCACAGGTGTCAAAGCAGACCAGACTTGCACTATATTCTATGTTTTGTTTTCTTTGAGAGCAGTGCTGTTGCTTTTCTGCTCACCCTATGCAATAATATGTATTGCTAATAGTATTAGCATTCACATCTGAATAACTAATGAATGAGAAGTGTAAAATTACTTGCCTAAGGCTACTGTCAACATCATGGATTTAGTTTTTGGGCTTTGACTGCAAACCCCAGGCTTTTTTTCCTTAAAAAGAAAGCTGCTTTATATAAAAACACTTCCAATATGAAAGAGTTTGTTTTAAAGCTGGATACAAATTATTCCTCCTTTGAAAACACTTGAAAGTCAACCTGACAGAACCAATGATTCAGTGAAAAGGAGGGGGAACAGTTTTCCTTCCTAGTACTCAGTGCTATTTGAGAGACAACTGTCTCCCTAAAGGAAAGGCATGAATTCACAAGGAATACTGCAATGCACTGAGTTAGCCTGGCTAATCGGCGTCTTGAGTAGAATAGTTCAGCTTGATGAGAGCTCTGTCTTGGGAGCCAAATTAAGCATAATGTCACTTTTCAGAGCAAGTTCCCAGCCTTTGAATAGTTTCCTGTTAAATCATAAGGCTCATATACACTTCATTGTGCTGAACATCTCGATGTGTTATATCGATAAGTATTTCCAAAGGGAAGGGAAAGTTTACATCAATTCCCATAGTTATAATCCACAAAGATATCCCTGTATCATATTACCTACCATTTACTCCTTTTTTTAGCATTGTTAGATGAGTTCAGAAAGAAGAGGTGGGAAAAAGTCTGATTCCTACCCAGAGGAAGCATTATCCAGAAGTCCTCCCAAACCATCTAAAATAACTACCATTTTCAACAAGCTTTGACAAAGTAGAAAGGCCTAAAAGTCTCTACAGCTCTTGAGAAAACTGGCAATGAGGTCAAGGAGGTCCCATTTCAGTGTCTCACAATGCAAGAGGCTACAGGCAGCTCAGGTGTGGTCTGTTTTGGTCTGCCAACCTAGCAGTGAAACAAAGAGCTGCTGGATTTAATTCCACTGCTCACATTAAAATAGTGGCACTTTTACTCGTGAGTGATGTCCAAGGAGGAGAGGTGTCAGGTAGAAAAGTGCTTTCTTCCTTTAGACAGAAGAGATTTGCAACTGCCTAGATAGATGAGCCAGTTGTTCTTGTGCAGAGGGAAAGAGAAAAGCCAGTGCCTACAGCTTTGTTGTTACCACTCAGAATCTCCAGGATTTTAGAGTCTTGGATCTGATTTTGCCACATATCATTCGAAAAAATATCAGAGTGCACATTGTATCTGTGAAATTAATAACTTACCAATATCAAGGAGGAGAAATCCGATAGAGACATAAGCACTTTTATTCAGTATTTAGAGAGGTCCATTCTGTGAGCTTACAAAGTTTTGAAATTAGTTACAAATTTGGGAAGTAAGATGTGGCATTAGGTAAGATTCATCACTCCTCTTGCTTTGAAAAGTAGCAAAAAAATCAGCTTTTCTGTGGGAAACAAAATAGAACATACCCCTCACCCCCTCATCACTTCCCCCACACACCCACACACAGAGGTCTTGATATTACTAAGATGGAGAAGGGAACCTGGCAAAAATGAAAGAATCCTAAATTCTCCAGATTTTTCTATATCTTCCACAAAGTCTGTAGCATTTAGATATATGCCTTATTTTCCCCTTAATACATCATTCCCCTTTCCAGTTGTTCTCTCCTACACTGAATTTCTTCCTTAAAAAGTGTTCATTTTAATGGCTAAAGTTTATGGACTCGTGGGAGAAAGGGCAGGAAGTCAGACTTTTGGGATAGGGTAAAAATGTAAAGGTCATTCACACACTCACACACACGTACTCTCTCTCACTCCAAAAATAATACACTATTTGACAGTTTCAGGATTCAGCATGTCCCACTGAAATTTGAAAGCTTATGTGAAACTAGGCCACGTCCTGTAACCTCAAACATTTAGTCTAGGAAAACAGCTCTCAAGTCTCCAGCTCCCACATCGGGTATCGCATGACGTCTGTGCCAAATAGGAGACCTCAAACCAGGGGCAAAAGAAACGTTGGTAAAATGAGTTGATTAAACCTGGGGAATAACAGTTCAGACTCTTAGTGACAGGTATTATTTTTTCTGGTTAGCTGGCTAGTGAAATATTAAATTATACTCAAGGCATCTATAACATGAGCTGGGCAGAATGGTCGCACAACCTACTTGTGTTCCACCTAGTGGCACGGACAAAGGAGAAAGAAGACTCATGCTTTGCAATGAAATGATTTTATCCTCCCCCACTAATATGTTAACTATTCAAAGTCAGAGAAATCATGTAAAAATTGAGGCTCAATATTTCCTCATACTGAGGCACCACAACACGAGACACCAATTTTAAAAGATCATTTACGCTACTGAAGTTCAGTTCTAAACTTTCCAGTAGTTCCACTTGTGCTCAGCTCTTTCTGGGGAATAAACAATTAATCCTGTGTGGTCTACAGGGTTACTGTTTATTTTTCCTCACCCAAATGTCCTCTTTTGCCCCTCTTAAGCTGCAATTTCAGGACAATGCTCCAAAAACATATGGAATGAGTAAAACAATCAATACAATGAGCAATGCCAAACCTGGCACAGCTTATGGATGACTGCAAACCCTGTTGATTAATACTCATGAGGAAATGAGAGGGAGAAACCAGCCTCACATCTATCAAGCAAACAATTGTTCACTGTTCTTTTTTATATTGAAGTATCCTCTTCTATTATAAACACAAATCCAAATAACTTTAATAATATTTTCTGCAGGTCAATACTAAAATTGTACCTTCATTGTGGCAGCAGATTTTATTTACTGAACAGCCATGGGCACTACCAGACAGATGTTTTAGGCTCTAAATTCTGCTTTTGAGATGTCATATTGCTGTAGACAAACAATTAACACTCTGTTTGTTACCCACTTTTATCAGGAAAAAATCTCTAATTGAATTATTATTTCTAAAGTTAAGAACCTCACGTAGCATATCTGATTTCTACAGACATGGAATATTTATCTCCTTCCTCTAAGTTTCATTGAAGATTAACAGCAATTCTTGATTCCTGCCATCTACATTCCTAAATACTGAATTTCACAAAAACATAATTAAGCAAATATTATTAAATAGACTTTGAAATGCCATAATCTCAAAAATAGGTCTAACTGGAACATCAAATAGGAAAACATGGACCACATGGACAGGTTTCAGTCTAAGTTGACTGAAATGGTTTTTTTAACCATTTTGAAAAGGAGGGCCACAGCTAGTCTGGACCCCTTGATAACAACATCGCTGCCTTCAGAGCTCTTACCAGACTTGCTAATTATTCTTCCAGGACTGGCAGAAACTTGAACTCTGACCAGACTTACCCACAACACTTGCGGCAGTTTAATGCACTGGAGAAATCAAAGTTGTATATTTGCTCTTTTACAAAGAGAAAAGTCTGCATTCAGTACGCATTAGGCATTTGTAGTCTGTGACTAATATGACCCTGAGAGGATGTACAGAGTCTAATAGCATACACACTTTTCCAATTATTTAAAGAATAGCTCATGATTGTTGGATTCAAAAGTTCTTAGCTAAACAGTTGTATAAGAGGATACCCTTACAAAGGTGTTGAACTACACATGTGTGCAATTATATTGTAATTATAGAGTATGCAAATGTAAGCTGACAGAACAATTAACAGAAAAAGAAAGCAACAAATAACAAAGTCTTTTCTTTGCCAAATTACATTTATAACAAAGCTAATGGAAGCTCTTAAAGGAAAAGGGAATGAATAGCCCCTATATGGTTTACTGGGCTTCTGCAAACTGAACCATAACTGCCATCCTCCCTAAAACTGCTCTCACAGCTTGTGCTGTCACAGGACTGCTTTTGTAATTCCCCTGGCAGGGACAGGAAAGCCGAGATGGCATCAGACGTCAGTCCTGCCTCATACCACAATAATCCCTTGGCCTTCAACATTGCAGGCACAGCC